CTTATGCGAGAAGTAAAGTTTATTTACGAATTATATTTGATGATGTTTAGATGATTGAGTGAGTGAGTCCCGGCGAGAGCTGGGCAGGCGACTCGCCGAACCCTCTGGTTCGCCTTAGGGGAAGGTGGGGCCGCCACACGGCCATCATTTGTAAATTTTACAACTGCTAGTCTAGGAATATAGTTAGACTTCATCATCTATAGTTTGGATTCATGCAAATAATATAATATAAATTAAGGTCTCATGAATTAGGGAAACCAGTTTGCGGAAAAGTTGCATGTGCAAGATTCCTACATTAATAGACATATTGGACATGGAGAATTGGGGACCGACTTCAGGTTCGGGGTGAAGGTTAGATCGGGTAACCATTTATGGAGATTAAGCGTATTTTGTGAACTGAAGTTGCTTTTGGCATTTCTTGTGAGAATCTTCTCGGACTGAAATGTCATTATTCGAGAGTGCATTGCTATGCATAAGCGATGTAATCTTAAGGTCAGTTGAATGGTGTTCTAGGTTGGAAGGAGAGCCAGAATGTGGAGTAGCTAAGTGAATTGGAACTTGGAATAGCTTAAAGATGGAAGTGGTTCTTGTTCTCCTCCAAATTTGCAAATATTCTCCTTTATTTCGAATTAATGAAAATTTTATTTGTTTAGTACCAAAAATCTAATTTGAGCATGTCCTATTTGATTGCTTCGACTTATATAAGTGGCAATTATAATACTATAACAGTGTTTGTGATATGCTTGCTTTGACATCTTAGTTCATATTATTGGTTTTGGCTTTTGGTTAAACTTGGTAGTGTCAGTGAAAACTAGTTTTCATCTGCCAGGAGAGAGTACCTGGAAAACTCATTGGATCCGCCAGGGAAGAGTACTTGGAACATGCTTTTGAATCTGCCAGGGCAGAGTACCTGGAAACTCATTGGACCCTCCGGAGGAAAGTGTACCTGGAAACTCATTGGACCTTCCAGGGAAGAGTACCTGGAATTATTGGAACCTCCAGGGGGTACTTGAAACTCATTGGACCCTCTTAATGGGTTAATGTTAGGCTGGATATCCGGAAATGTTGACAAAATTTAGTTACCCTTGAGCCACATTAATAATTGCTTGGTTAATAGATGTTTCTTAGTAATTGAATTTATTTGCCAAATATCTTGATTGCCACTTATATCTATGTACATTTGTAAATCATTTGGAAGCTTTCCTTTGAAGTATTTATTTGCTTGTGTGTGTATGAAATGTGCTTGAAAAATCTGTACTGTATTGAACATGCTCAAATTAGTGGTTGAGAACCTGGACTACTTACTGTGCCATGTTGATTGCTCATCCCACGTTAACTATTTATTTGGCAGAGGAGTTTAGTAGCCTGAGGAAGTGCCAAATTCAGGTCCATGGGGTTGGCAGGCACAATTGTCTTTTAGCTTTGTTCTTGATTTATGAGTTTGGTATTCTGGGCCTACGTGCCATAACTACCTCCTACTCAATAAGTCTGATACTACATTCGTGGACATTTTGGGGTATTTATTTGAGTGATGATTTTGGTTAATTCATTTGGAGTATTGATGTTAATTTTTGTGGATATTTATTAAAGCTTTTGAGCCTTGCCTATTGGGATGAATCCTAATATGCGGCGTGTTACAGTTTCGGGTTTGGGGTGTGACACAAAGCCTTTCCCCAAGAGAGGAACTAAAAATTTCCATTTTGGTCCAAACTCTTTGGGTTTTCCAACAGATCGAGAGCTTTATAGTTAGTTAACGCGTGTTTGATTGTGCGAGTGAATGTGTGAGTAGGGCATGTGGTGAGACTTTTTTTTTTTTTTTTTTAATGTTTAATTTTGATAATTGGAAACTGACATAGATTATCCATTTAAATCCAACAATTTATGTGGGTTTATATGGTCATCGAAGTCCCTACGAAGTATTATTTTCGCATTATATTTGTTCATGTTCAAGTTATTGTTTAAATTGAGAGAAATTTCTAAGTTTGTGATGAATTTTAAAAAAATTCTACAAAATGGGTGATTGTGGCGAGGAATTCTGTCGGAGGGGTCTTCGCATTCGTGAAATGCGAGCTCAGGAGAGTTCGCATTTCACGAATGCGAGCTCTCAACAGAGCTCGCATTCCTGAAATGCGAGCTCAACAGAGCTCGCATTACAGAGATGCAAATTTTTTTTCTTTTTTTTTTATCTACATTTTTGTTGCATTTTATATACTATATAACTAGATATGGTTTTGGGTTTTTCTTTTATATTGCACACCGACAAACAAGAAGAAGGATTAAGGAAGCATCTTTGATTCTGAAATTGAAAGGACAATGAAGCAAGTTTGGTCGTATCCCATTCCCATGGGGTGCCGTCAATGTTCATTTGCATCCGCATATACAGTAATAGTATCTATATGTCCCACAAGTGGCATGCATGCAGTAGTGTTTGATATTCATCTCTCCTTAATAAAACGAACACTTGTCACTCATGCACTCTCCTGCGCGACTTATAATATCTTCCCGACTCCATTTTGTATCCCTGTTAGTGTTGAGTTAGGTTCCATTTCCTGGCATTCCATTTGGCCTGCAGTCCGGGGGACATCTTCACTAACAACAGCAAGTAGGAATTGAATATACTTTTAATGCTTCTGGATTCCTAGCGGTTGAACTCTAATCGTCCATGGACAGTGGGAGCTGGGTAGTGGGAGCTCACTGAGCTCGCATTCTGAAAATGCGAGCTCAGTGAGCTCGCATTTCCGAAATGCGAGCTCCAATTGAGCTCGCATTTTCAGAATGCGAGCTCACTGAGCTCGCATTCTCAAAATGCGAAGACCCCCATTTACAGAAACCCCTCCAGGAAACGCCCTCGTTGTAGAATTCTTTTTTTTTTCCATCACAAACTAAGAATTCACCCTTTAAATTGATTGGTTGAGAACAAACAATAGTTTAATTGTGAGACAGTTGATTAGTATTGAATTTGCATATGTTTGTATGTATGTTTAAGTTCATTTATAGTGTATTTTGTGTGTTAAATTATTAAATTTATTAGAGTTTTCTAGTAAGTTACACGATTAAACATGGTTTAACAAGAATGATTAATCTATTGATAAAATTGACGTTATTTTATTGTTTTTGTAGGTTTTTGAGCATATTTGGATGTGGGATCAAGTTGGAGAACTATTTGATAAGAGTGTGAGAGAAGATCAAATTGGGAAAAGTGCAAAAAGCTCGACTAATTGTCCCACCAGTCAGAGTAAGTAGTTTCGTGTCGGGATGCAGAAATGAGCCCAGAAATATAAGAGAGCCACAAACATGCAACGATGACGTTTTGTACAAATCAGCGACATAAGATGTATAAGTAGGACGATGTCGTTTGAAGTAGGGAATAACAGAATTACCTGAATTAGTTAGAGTCGATTACTAATCCTATATGTACAAAGATGATTGGTTGAAAGGAATCCAAGGAAATAATGATATCATTTCTCTGTCTTCATCTTCCTCTCTTTCTCTTTCTCTCTCCCTCTCAATTCCTCTCTCTTTCTCTCTCTCTCTCTCTCCACTCATTCTATCCATTTCTGGATCATTTATTCCAGATTAATTCTCCTTTAATCCAAACATTTAACCAAGATCCTGACAAGTGGTACCAGAACAAGTTGAATCCTTGGAAAATTCGGATTCAATGGCAGAAAGCACTAGGTTTAAGACATTGGAGGAGCAAATCAAGAAGCAAGAAGTCAAGCTTGAAGAGGCGGTAGAAACTCTGCAAGCTTCCCATCAACAACAATAGCAAATACGCAATGAATTGCGTGCAGAATTGGAAGAAAGTAATAATAGGATAAAAGGTCTGGTAGCTGGAATGAAACAAGAATTCAGTGCCTTTATGAGGATGATGATGGGAAAAGAAAAGACAATTCTAGAAGAAGATAGACATCAAAACGATCACACACCCCTATTAGCAACCCCTCCACTGAATCAGAGGCTGCAAATTGGATCTGAAAGCACTAAGACAACAAAGAAGGACGTAGGTAAACTTCTGATACCAAATCCCCCAAAAATTGAGTTGTTCTTGTTTACTGGTGCAAACCCGAGAGATTGGATCAAGAAATGTAATAAATATTGTTTAAACTATCAAATTCTTGAGGAACAAAAATTGGAAGTCATAGAAATGTATTTAGAATGAAAGGCGGACAAATGGTTCCAAGGAGTAAAACTAGAAAAACCTGGAATGACTTGGAAAATGTTTGAGGAATTACTGTGTAAGAGGTTTGATAATAGAATTAGTAAAGATGTTGTAGAAGAGTTCAATAAATTGCAACAAACTAGAAAAGTTGAAGAGTATCAGAAGAAATTTGAAGAGCTTAAAACTCTTATGATGATTAAGAATCCATATTTGGGTGAGGAGTACTTTATATCTAGCTTCTGTAGACACCAAATTTTTGAATAATTTTTTTTTTGTTCTATTTTTTTTTTGTTTTTAGTAATAACTATTATATATTTTATTTATTAATCTCATAATTTTTGTTTTAAGGCACCTTTTAGCATTTTATAACATTTTTGATTGTTATTATTTATTTTTATTTTATTTTATTTTATTTTATTTTTATATTCATTTTTGATCATTTAGTCGTTTAATTATATTTTAAGGTTTTTTAGTGTTAAGAGTTGCCAGAAAATGGTCACAAAAATATGCCTTATCTCTGTTAGATTTTATTTTATGCAAGTTTATTGTTTATTTAACTAAAAAAAGGGGAGAGAGAAAACCAAGCTCATGCACCTGGAGCTGCACAGGATCCTAGCCCATTTTTCTTCATATAACATTTTAAGCAGAAACCGTGCGGCGGAAAGTGCAGAGGCAAAAACAAAAACGCAGCCCCATTTTTTTCAGTTTGTTTTTCGGCCATTTTGCTCCATCGGATTGGCATAATACAAGGCCATCTGGCCTTCATCCGGCAACTCAAGGTTGAGAAACAAAAAGCCATCCAATGGCTTGGAATTCAGCAAAAAGAAAAACGCAGCAGGTGAACCATAGATGCTAGGTTTTGTGAGAGGTTTCGGGTGCCTATAAAGAGCCATGAAGTGAGAGAGTTTAAGGGGGATTTTGATGAAAATTGGAAAAACAGAAATCAGAAGGGAGAGTGACGGCGGGAGAGAATCTGCGGGAAAAAGAGAGCTGGAGAAAACCATAGGAGAGGGAGAGCTTCGGGTGAGGTAAAAACGACAGAGAGAAGGTGGAGGCTGCAAGAAAGAGAGAGAGAGAGGCTCGTTGGTGGCTGTGGGTAGTGAAAAAAGAGAAGGCTACTGGGGTTTCTGGAAAAGAAATGGGCGGCGGAGTTTGAGAGAAACCAAGAGAGCCGAGGGTTTGGGATAGAAAGGGAGAGTTTTTGCAGAGAGCAGAAGGAAAACTTCAACAAGGAAGCAGTGAAAGATCTGGACAAGGCCTGAGTAGGAGAAAGGAGATCGCAAAGAAGGTTGCACAAAGGGGACTGGATCATCATCACCATCCTTCACTGGTGGTCCTTCGAAGAACTGGCAGAACCAGCCGAGCCTTTTCTTGTCATCCCACGACTCATTTTACGATTCAGGGAACCTTGGAAAACCTGGTAGAAGGCTTCGACAGAGAGAGGGGAGAGAAAGAGAGTGGCGGCCGAAACAAATGCAGCAGAAGAACCCTTACACGATCTTCACCAGAAATTCGCAACTTTGGAATCTGCATCCGGACGCAATCTTGTCAACCAACTCCCTGTTCAGAAGACTCCGCAAGACGTCAAAGGTAATCTCTTTTGCCTTCTACTTCTCATACAAGCCTAGATCTCCTCTAAATATGCCAAAAATCTTGTTGTGTTCTGTTTATGAACATGCTTTGCTGTTTTGCTTCCTATGGCAGCCGAATGGGTTGAGTTTCGTTCTTTTTTGAAAATCTGTTGTTAAATCTTGTCCTGAGGAAATGAAACCTGATAGTCAATGTTGGGTTGGAAAAGTTTTGCTCCAAAAGTTACGCATTTGTATCTGATGTGTTGCGGGTTGAATGGAAACCCAGAAAGTTGCAGCAGAACGAAGAAGTAGAAAGCTTTTTTTTTTTTTCGTATCAGATTGTGTGATCCTGGTGTTCAAATATAAAGGTTTTATGTTGAATATAGGAGGAATGTTTGATATTCCTGTTGCTTGGATTCAGTTTGCATTGCGCTTAAATTTGCGCATACAAATCTGCTGCAACAAGCCACTCTTGAAGTTCTCGGCCTGTTGCAGCAGCATGGACAGATCCTGTTTCTTTCCTTTGTTTGTTAAGGTCTTGGATTGTTTGAAGTTTGGGAGTTCTGTAGTGTTCGGTTTGGTATTCGGTGTGCATATTTGCCATGAGTTTTTCTCCTTGCGTCTTTGTTGCATATTTCCATTCAGTCACATGTTGGAGCATGGAGTTGCTAATGCTTGTAGTTTCGTTGCTGATGCTTGTAGTCTACTGCATCTCTTGCTGTTGTATGTGTTTTGTTCATCCCTATTGCCTTTCTCTTGCATGTTTATCAAGTTTTTTTTTGGATGATAAGCTTATATAGAACTTGGGATGGTTTCTGGTTTGAGGTCATTGTATTAAAATTTGCCGTATGAAATTGCTGAAATCTCAAAGTAGCAGAAAGAAAACCCATGAACTGTCCAGATTTGCATGCCTTTTTGTCTGACTTTTGCTGTTTAAATCTAAAGTTTTATGTTGCAAAGTGAGAGGATTAGGTGGTTGTCTTGTTGCTTTAGTTCATATTGAATTTGAGTGTGTTTAAGAGCTGCGGAGAGCTTGTGGATACAATTGCAGAAGGAGAGTCTTATAGCTTGAGTTGCAGAAATAAGAACAAAGAAAGCGTCGTAGCATGCATGAAAAAAACTTTCCAAAATTGCAGTTTGATCTCTCGATTTTCTCTTCATTTTACTATGGCCCAGCTAATTAGATAATTTCGATCATTTTTATCCCTTTGACATGCCATTTTTCTATAACATATCTTAGCATGATTTCTTAAATAGATTTTAATGAGTCTTAGAATAACGTTGAAGGTTTTTAAGAACGTTTTTCTAGATTTTAGTTTTGATTTGGATTCTTAGTGAAATTTTGCGTATTTTGTGCTTTGAATGCAACAAATTGATTTTCATTTATTGTTTTTGTGAGTTTTGTCATTCGATTGGGGGGTTTCACTTTAAGTCCTCGCTTGTTTAAATTTCTTAAATATAGGCTGTTTACATGATTCGATTGATTCAATTTCACATTCATTTTCATTTTTTTATGATTAATTGTTAATCAAAGTGATGCCTTGACCCCTTTTATTATTTTGGAGGGTAAATAAGTAAATTCATTTCATTAGGACGCCAACTCAAGGGAGGTACACTCTATCCCTTATTTTTACTTTATTCGACTCTATGTGTACTTATGTGATTTATGTGTTAATTGCATGTCTTTTTGTGAGCGTTTTCATTTTATCTATTTATTTATTCGCTTTACTTGTCTTAATTTCGTATATTTATTTTAGTTCATTTTGATTATTTGGGAGGCACTTGAATGCCAAAATTGTAATAGTTAGGGACTTAATTGTTTTATTCCTTCTTATCTCCCCTTTTAGATTGTATTAGGCCTTCCCCCTCAAAAATGTAATAGTTAGGGCTTCTTTGCTTTATTTTCGCTTGTGTGATTTGCATGCTTATATGCTATGTGTTTAATCGCTTTCTTAGGGTCTTGCATCTAGATACCATGCTTATGTGTTATGTGCAATATGTGATTTATGTGTTTATTTACTTTATTAGCCTTTACATGATTTATTTGGTTTATAATGGATGAATGCGTCACCGTGGCTAGTCCAACGCTGGCCACGGTCTTTCCCCTCGAGCTCTCGCAAGTCCAATGCTTGTGAGAGAATTTTAGAAAAGGGTTAGTCCAATGCTAGACCCAATAGGCCGTCCCCTCTCGTTAGTACATACTTGCATGTTTTACTACATTTCATGCATTTTTCTTAGTTTTCTAGCATTTGGCATGCCCTCCAACCCTTTCCCTTTCATTTTAGGCTTTTTGCATCTCCATGCTAGTTATAGGGTACATTTGCTTGAGAGTTACCCCTTAAATATGGGATATAGACGAGTGTGGCTTTTCTAAGCCTTAGCACGCTTGTATTCCCTCTAATCCAAGGGAAAATTAAAATCATGAAGTTAGAAGTCATTCCCGCACCCGACTTGATGCACTCCTCTAGGTTCATGTACCTCCATTTTATCATATCACTTCCTCACTTTTTTTATCCACATTTTCTCACTACTTATATTTTTACTCACTCCACATGCCATGTTCACACACTTCTCTTCTTTCCCTATCACTTATTTATTTTCTACCTCACAAATTGTACCAAATTGTACTTAGATGCATCTACTACCATTATACCATATTTTTATTCACTTGCACACATACGTCTTCATTTTCTCAATTGGTACACATGCACTTTTCTTACATTTGCACACTTGCACTTACATTTGTATTTTTATATTATTTTGCATTCCTCTTACATTTTCACACTTACATTCATATTTGGGTCTTCATTTGCATTACCCGTGACCTCTATGAGAGTTTTCCTTATTGGCCATCACAATTCATGTGATTGTGACCAAAAAGCCTCATAAGAGACATTTTAGATTTAGGATTGTATTTTTTTTCATATCCATTAGTCACATCCAACATGCAACACATATTTTGGATAGAAGAATTAGGAAAAGAAGGGCTAAGTCACGCAACTAGCTTTGGCTAGGGTAAGGGAGTGCCTTAGGCTTTGCCTTTGCCTTCTCCCTTATCAAATGTGACCCCCGATCCCTTTTTTTGGTCACGTAGATCTAAAAATTCTTTAAAAAGGGTTTGTTTACTTTTTTTCCAAAAAATCCCTTTTTGGGTGACTTGGTACACCCTAACTCTATACCAAGTGGCGACTCCATTTTCCATTCAAAAAACCCTTTTTGAAACTTTGTTTGGCCAAACCGTCGCATTTCACAATCCCACGGCCTTTTATCTTCATTTTCACACACGTTCACATACATATCCCACACACTACTTTCACACATCAAAAAGTGGGGCGCGACAGTTGGCGACTCCACTGAGGACTTCCTAAGTGGTCCAAGCATTTGATTTAGCTATGCTTTTCCTTTTTCTACCCTTTTTTATGCATAGCATTTGGATATTAGGGTTGCATTTTCCATTTTTAGGACTTTTTGCCTCGCGCGCGTATCAAACTATTCCCTCACTCACGTATGTATGATTGGTTGTTTGGATGTATGTTGTACTTGTTTTATCCCGCGCTTTGCATTGCATTTTTGGGGGGGGGGGTTGTGTCACCTTTAGAGTCTCGCGTTGGTTCTCAACCCCTTCCCTCAAAATAGGGAACACCTCATACGTGCATGTTTATTTACTGTTATCCCATTTTATTTTATTTTCGTGGGCTCTTTCCCACACCGCCTTGTAGGATTAGGAATGGTTTCTCTAGGTATGTGGATAGTGTGCTCTGCGCCCGTAGCAGTACCTAGGGGACCGCTCGAGCCGCCGACCGAGGGTCTTGGGATTGATGACCCATTCCCTTAGGTCTGAAGGCTTGGGGACCTTTTTAAAGCTTATCGAGTCTAGTTGCATTAGTGAACCCCAGCCTCATGCATCCATGTTAGAGTTTTCCTAGGTTAGAGTCAACCTCACCCTTTTTTAAGTACATTAGGCACGAGGGAAGGGGTTCCACCCCTTTTATTTGCTTTTATTGTATTTCTTTTCTTAATTGCTCCCAATATGTTATGTGTACTATCAATTGCACTAACCATTTTTTTGTTTTCTTGGTTTGCATTCATGTGCCTTAGCAATAAGAGGCCTCTTTGGCACTCTTTTAGTGACTTACCCACTAGATAACTGACATGTTTAAATTTCAGTCATTACACTTAATTTTCAATAAGTACATGTCATTTTGGACCTTTTCCCCCGATGCATTATTTATGTCCTTTAGGCCATATTTGTCACATATTTACATCGTTTTAATAAATGGCATCATGCATTAAACCTTAGAAGGAACGCCATTTAGGCAATTCCATGTTAAGGACAAGCCAACCCTATAATCCCATGGGTATTTAACCCTATTTTTGGGATCTGCACGTTTATATTTTGTACCATCCAAAGGGAAAGTGCACAAGGTAAGGTCGGATCCGATCATTTTCATAGAGCAGTTTTTGGAATATGAGCGTTTAATAATCACTTTTTGGCCATTTTATCAAATTGGTAAAAATCCCTTGCAAAAAGGACATTAATTTGAAGAAATTCACAAACAATTCCTCGCTATTGAGACGATAAATAAACTGAGACCAAAATTTGATTTTAAAAGACTCATAGATTAATGCATCGCAATAAGCCGTCAATTCCATTCAGTCCATTGGATCATTTTATTCATCAATTTCATCCAGTCCATTTTATCAATTTGTTTATTTTTAAGGTAACCTAGTCGATTTTGAATTCATTTGACTAGTTTATCCATTTTAGGGCAATCTAGTCGATTTTTGAATAAGATCACCAATTTCATTCAATTCATTTGATTAGTTTACCCATTCTTAGGTCAACTCAATCAATTTTGAATAAATTCAAATCATCAGATTCGTTCAATTTCATTTGACCAGCTTACCCTTTTAGGGTGATTTAGTCAATTTTCCGATCCATTTGATCAGTTTACCTATTTTTAGGGCAATCCGGTCAATTTTTGAATAAATCATTAATTTCATCCAACCCAGTCAACTAATTAGGGTTTTAATTTCGAATTAAGAAACCTAGTTGTTTTTAAGAAAATCACCCATTGCATTTGGATGAATTAGGGTTTTGATCTGTGTTAGGAAATTTCAGATTCCTTCAATCACAAGCTCGTCAAAGTTAAATTAATTTGTATAAATTCTTGTGCCAATCAAAACCAATCATTCATTCGGAGTTGTCCTCATTTTGTTGGAGAGCTCCCGCCGTTCAATTGGTCCAAAATTTCCAAATCACTTTCTAATCAAATGCCAATAAGTTGATCGGATCCATCAGGTATGGTATCGTGCCTACCTCAGAGGATTACATCATTCTAGGCCTACCCTTGGCACAAAAAGGGCTCCCCCATAAGACATGCATCCGAATTCTTTGGATATTTACTAACTCTTGTCTTTTTCTTTTCTCTTTTTTTATTTTTTATTGGAATAGCTAAGTGAGGGCTAAATCTAAAGGCAATTCTTTCCAAAATTCTCAGGTAATATTTAAACATAACTTCTCGTCGAAACCCCATCATAACACGATCCCATAGTCAAGTCCAGAGGAGTCGTGTAAACATGAGTTCACAACCGGAACCGTCGGATAGGTCTGCTACAACAGCTCAACCTGAGACTGCAAGTTTGGGGGTCCAACTGACCGAGATACTTACTAAGTTTGGTGAGATGGTCACTGAGATGGCGGCCCAAAGGAAGTTGATTGACAAGCTAATCAGCTGTGGAGTTCAGCCCGAACCTGTACCCGTCAGGCAGCCTGAACAAGAGCCATTTGTCATCCCTCCGACTCAAACCACCGTTACTCCATCCTTCCCTATTCCACCCGAAGGAACTTTCACCTACCCCACCATAAATTTGCCATACACTTACCCTCCTAATCCTTCATTTTTTCCTACTCACATGCAAGGCCCACAACCCCAAGCTACTTCAAACATATCACCTGAGCCACATACCTTTTATCACACTGTTGCTGAGCCATTCCTACCAGACCATACTGTTCAAACCAAGCCAGAAATTGGGGAATCTTCCGCTCCCGTTGATATAAAGCTGCTCAAACGCCTTGACCGTTTTGATGAGTTTATGAGAAAGAGTCAGGGGTTGAACAAGCAAGGAGTCCTGGATTACGATGAGTTTTGTCTCTTTTCAAATGTGCAATTGCCTGAGGGGTTCAAAACCCCTAAGTTTAACAAGTACGATGGGACGGGTAATCCCAAGACACACCTCCGACTATTTGCTAACAAGTTGGGAAAGCCTGTAGACGACGAGAACCTGCCTCTAAGGTTGTTTCCGGAAAGTCTGGAAGGGGATGCCCTTGACTGGTACTCAAATTTGAAACCCGAAGAAGTAAAAATCTGGATTGACTTGTCCAATGCTTTTGTAAAGCAATACGAGTATAACTGCGAGTTGACTCCGACACGAACCACGTTGGAAGGAATAAAAAGAAAACCCTCCGAGGATCACAAGACTTATGCC